CTCTGCACACGATCTGCATGGGACAACACGTGACAGGTTTGGGGATGTGGCTGGTTCGTGTCCTTCCCCAAGGCCCATGTGATGTTCCAACCTGAGATGCCCATCACTTATCCACCCGGCCTCCTCTGGCTGTTTGAGGACACTGAGCTTGAACCTCCTGATTCTTCCCTCTCACGCCCATTGCAGGGTCATTTCCTGTGGGTGGCATCAACCAAAAAAGGTTTTGTCAACCTCTATAGGTACTAGAATCTCTCTCCAAGTTAAGCACAGCCATCAAGCTACTGAAGAGCGTAGGGGAATCACTCTACTTGAGTCTGGCATGTAGAGCTGAGAAACATCTGAGTGGTATCCAGAGTTTCTACAAGGCAGGTGTTTGGAGACACCCTTAAAATATGGTCCCTAGTGGGGGTACAGATGAAGGCTGAATAGCGTGGGAAGGGGGTGCCAACACACTCCTGAAGGATACTGTCTTTCTGGCTGAGCCTCTGGCTTTTGTGAGGGATTTGATGTGCTCTTGTTTGGTTTCTAGTTGACAATATAGGCAGGAAAGAAGGGTAGATTATGACTACAAACAAGGCTGGGAATGAGCTGTTTCTAGAATGTACCTGGATGAGAATGGCAGATGGCTAACTGTGTCCTGAACTGGCTGTTTCCCAGGAGAGGGGAAGCTGGGGTGTGTGAGATGAAGGACCCTCAGAGCCAGGCTCCGGAGGAGTCAGAATGATCCAATCTGCCTCTGTCTCTGGAAAACCGCATTGACTTGAGCAAGATGCCTGTTCTAGTCCCGAGCCTCTGTTTCCCCATCTGTAAAGTGGGCTAATAACACCTTCAGCAGGGCACGCTGCAGGCCCCGGTGTGGGGTAAGAGCTTGTCAGGAACTGCTTCAGGCCACAGCCATGAACCAGATGGCCCAGATTCTGAGTTGAGCGCTTCCTTGGGTGGTGACCATGTGCCTCGGTTTCTTCACTGTGGGACAGTGCCAGCAAGAGACCCCCATCTGAGAGGGAGATAAGGCCACACCCAGCAATTGTCAGAGAGATGTGTGGGCGCAGAAGCCACGTGCCCCTCCCCTCCTCTCCCAAGAACTCTGCCACAGAGAGGTTGTCACTGTGAGGTTGTCACCGTGAGGTTGTCACGTTCCCACTACACTATTTGTTTTTGGGGGGGGGGGGGGGGAGTCTGTCTCTGAATGTCCTCTGAGCCCAGCTGGACCAGAGCCTCTGGGGCCAGGGACACATTTTTCTTTTCCTTCTTTTCTGTGTTTAAGATTTTATGTCAATGGGTGTTTTGCCTTTGCATCACGTGCATGCAGTACCCACAGAAGCCAGAAGAGGGTGCTGTATTATCTGGAACTGGAATTACAGACAGTTGTGAGCAGCCATGTGTGTGCTGGGAATCGAACCCTGGTGTTCTGTAAGAGTGGCCAGTGCTCTAACCACTGAGCCGTCTCTCCAGCCCTGCCGGCTTTAGAACCTGTCTTAGCATCACGCCTCAGCCTGTGGCATTGCGGGTGCCCAACCAATCACTCCCAGAGAGTGAAGTGCGGAACAGAGGCAAGGAGTGGTGAAGGGCCTTGGTGTAGGTTGTTGACAGAATGTTATACAGATGGGAAGGAAGGTCCCTGAACCCACAGAGTCAAATGCGGTAGAAGCCGTGGTAGTCACTACGGACTGGGATGAAGCAGTGTGGGTGCTGAGCTGGGCACCTCACAGGCCAGGTCTTACCACAACCACAGCAACTACTCTATCGCGCCCATTGTGAAGTGAGGACAACTGAGTCTTGGGTAAATTGGTGATTTTTTTTTCTGTAGACTCAGTCCCACAGCTCTAAGGTTCAACCCCAAACTGATCTGATTATTAAATTTGAGCCCTTAATCTGGACTCTGTCAGCCTTGGTCCCATTCCTCTTGAGTCTGCCTCACGGTCAACCCAGCTCCTGGGTCCAAACATGAATGATGAGCAAAGGGTGTCAGGAAAGCAGTGGAGAGAGGGGACAGCACGTGCAAAGAGCAGGACGGATGCAAGTCAGAGATACCGGTAGCATCACGGCAGCCTCTGGAATATGAATCATGAGCTAGCCCTATCTAGTCTTTAGACTGCGGAGTCCTAGTGAGATAGAACACATAGAAACAGACACCCAGACAAACACGCAGATACCAACACACATACACATATGCAGATGTACACACATGTGTACATCCATGCACACAGGTACATCCAGGAGTGACAGAAGACTGCATAGGGTGTTGCGTGTGAGCAGAGTACACAGTGACCATCCAGGCAGGTGGTGGACAGCTGGAAGGGAACAACCAGGACTTCTGGGGAGGGTGCAGTAGGAAGATGGGAGGGAAGATGGGGGGAGGGGGGAGGAGAGGGGTTTGGTGAGCCAGTCCTGGCCTGACCCTTGGGGCTGTCAAGCCTTTAATCTGGGACCGGGAGGGGCTGCAGAGTACACCCTGTGTTTCTCTGAGTTCTCAGATCTCAGGAAGCACCTTTGTTGAGAGCTTTTCTAAGTGACACCTTGTAGGGCACAGAGTGTTCTTCCAAACTGTTTACTCAGGGCCCCTCAGTTCTCAGTCCCCAGGGAGCATCTGTTGTCAGGAAGGGGAGTAAGGTGCTTATCTCCACCGTGAGAAACAGGCTGTGTACCCATGGGGACAGCAGTAGTGGGCATAAAATCCGTTTCTCCGCAGATCCCTCACTCAGGCTGCCCCCCAGAGAGACAGGAGGCCAGGGAGGTTAGAGAAGAGGCCATCTGCTGAGCCCCTGGCACCACGGTGCCTGCACATGGAACCTACTGGGAAGAAAACCTGTCACCTCCCCTGACAGTACCCGGTGGCTCTCAGTCACCCTCTGAAGGGGCCAGCATGGCTGTCATGGTGGATCAGGATTAGGGTTGGTTCACTTAATTCTGTAGTTGATGAATGTGGAGTGGAAGGTGAGGGCTTATGTCCCCTGCTGGTAGTTTCCAAGCAACTGGGGACAACATACAAACTTAGGAGACACAGAGGGGCGGAATGCTGAAGACCAAAGACAGCAGGGGTCGGAGGGCCCACACAGGTCTCCCTTGAGTCTCTAGGGACTTCTAGCATCCAACTTTCCTCTCCATACCCATGACAATGCCTTTCTCTTATCATCTGCTTCTTTGGTTCATTTGTTTATTTTTGCATGTGTCTGGGGGAGAGCTGTATGTATGTGTGTTTATGGGTAGACCTGTAGAGAGGAAGGGCAGATGTGTGTACCTGTGGAGTAGATGTTTGTACGTGTGAGAAGTGCAGCTTGGGTGCGGGTGTGTGCATTTGTGTGCACATCAGAGCACAGCCCCAGGTGTTGTTCCTCAGGCTCTGTTCACCTTCGTTTTGGTTTTTCGTTTGTTCATTCTTATTTTTGTTTGTTGTTTTTTTTGTTTTGTTTTGTTCTTTTATTTTTTATTTTATTTTATTCAAGACAGGATTTCTCTGTATAATGGCCCTGGCTATCCTGGAACTTACTCTGTAGACCAGGCTAGCCTCAAACTTAGAGATCCAGCTGCCTCTGCCTCCGGAGTGCTGGCATTAAAGGCATGCGACGCCACTGTCCAGCTCTCACCTTGTTTTTTGAGACAGGGAACTCACAAAATAGGCCAGGCTGGCCGATCTCTGCCTGCCCCAGCACTTGGGATACCAGCGCTTTGCAGTGGGCCTGGATGTTTACAAGGGTTCTGGGAAATGAACTCAGGCACTCACACTTGCGAGGCAAGCTCCTTACACTCCTTACTGAGCCCCCTACTTTTCACAAATTGAGGGAGCAATCTGTACAAGCTTAAAGAGATTTCCTGGGTGAAGAAGGCTATAGTCAGAGCACCCCCATCTTAGCTGACCCCACCCTGCCTGCTTTTGGTCCCACCTACGTGCCAGCTTTCGGATAGGAAACCGAAAGCCACTCACTGCCTGTTCTGATGCCAACCGGAGGGGAGGGGGGAAAGCAGGATTTATTCCCTGCGACCACACTCCCCCTGCAGGACATCAGCGGTAGTGCATGGTGTTTGCAGCCTCAGAGATGGCTGCACAGGAGTGTGTGGGTAAGGACTGTACCAGAAAGATCCAAGCATCTGCTAGTGAAGGAAGGCCACCTTCAGGAGGATGTATACGCTGAGGGTTGGAAGATGATCCAGTCAGAAGATAGACGCAGAGCAATCTTCCGGGCAAAAGACTAGTTTGTAGGAGTGGCCTCTGGTGGCAGGGAGCTAGCTTCCATTCAGGGACCAATGTCACGCTGGGCACTGTGCATGTCCCATCACAAAACCCAGAGAGGTGCTGTGTTGTCGCCACATGGAGAAGGGTCACATCGCAGAACGCTAACTCCCAGGACCCAGACTTGAAGTCACCAAAACTACAGAGTAGAACTGGATAGAACTGGATGAGTCAGAGCATGGTTAAGCCTCTCTGGCGCCCCGCACCAGGCATCTGCTTTGTCTGGCTTTGGATTAGTGTAACAAAAGAGAGCACACAAATGTTCTCCAGTGCCAATACCACCTCCATGTTAGCAGCATGTGAGACTTATCCAAGACGTTAGGGATTATACATTCTGTGTGTGATCTATGAGTTCTTAAAGCTCTAGACATGTTGATGGATTGTAAAAAAAAAAAAAGATATGTTTATACAGAAATATACATGTTTCATATCTGCATGTGTGTTGACATGTACACCCATATATGTATAGACACATGTAGGCAGACAGATGAGAGTTATCTCATGGGGTCATACTTAGAATGCAGATGGCTGCGTTAGCATACGCTCCGAAAGCACCCTCCTTCCATGGCTCCTTCCTTCCCTCCTCCCGTCCTTTCTGCTTCCCTCTTGCAGCCATCTCTTTGGGGACTCAGAGAAACAGCAAGTCAAGCCCAGAACTGCTTCAGTCACCTACCTGCCCTAGCAGCAGTTCCTGCCCATGTAACTGTTTTCCCAGGGAGGAAGCTTGGGCTGAGAGCCTAGGTTGACGCCCTTCCACTATCTCCCACAGGCTGAAGAGGGTACACCAACAGGCCCCCGGCAGCCCCGTGCAGACCGCTGCCCACCACCCCCACAGACGCTGCCTCCAGGTGCCTGCCAGGCCACACGCTGCCATGCCGACTCCGAGTGTCCGCGACACAGGCGCTGTTGCTACAATGGCTGTGCCTACGCCTGCCTGGAGGCTGTGCCCCCTCCACCAGGTGAGCTGAGCTGGGTCAGGGGATTAGGGGTCGTGTGGATCCAGTGCTGGGCTGAGGAGGAGAAGGAGCTGAGCTGTGTTTGTGCTGAGCTGCCCAGCCTGGGTGCTCACCTGCAGCCTTCAGCTGCAACTCCGCCATACCTGTGGGGTGCAACTGCCTCACCTTCATGTGTGGAGCCAGCCCAGCATGGAATATACACACTCCAGGAATAATGTCACCACTGTGAGATTCCACCCTTTAAATAGGGGTCTAATCTGTGGGATGGCTCAACCTGTAAGAGAGTTTGGGATAGAGGGGTTAGGGCACCTGCAACCAACCCTGATGACCTGAGTTCAATCCCCGGAACCCACGTGAGGAAAGGAGAGAACACGTTCACCACCTCCACATGCACACCCCCCCCAAAAATAAACATTTTAGATGCATGTATGTCTTTATATCCAGGGTGGGAATGTAGCCCTGTTGGTAACACTAGCAAGCACAAAGCCCTGGGTTCGATTCCCACCACTGTATAAACCAGGTGTGGTGGTACACACTTGTAATCCTAGCACTCGAGGAGGTGGAGGCAGAAGGATCAGAAGTTCAAGGTTGTTCTCAGGAGTTCAGAGCCTGCCTGAGCCGCGTGAGGCTCTGTCTCAAAAGATAACAGTAATAAAATCATGATCCTTTCCTTTAAAATCCCTGACCAGCGCCCTATGTCCCGAGCTGGGCAGCTCTCCTAGTTATATCCCCAGGCAGCTCTTCCATGCACAGGGTGTCCCTAACATTTTCCCCGACAACTACAAAGTTCACTTTCTCCCAGCTCTGGGATCCTCCTCTGTGAGCGTGCTCCCTTGCCGGCAGCCCCTCCGCCAGCAGGTCCTCCCCTCCTTCCCGCTGTTACAGGCTGCAGGTGTCTGGGTTTACTGTTTTTTGTATCTGGTGTCCCCCACTTGGAGTTGGCCCCAGAGGGCTGTATCCTTCCCATATCCCGGTACTGTGGTCTCTGGACCCATGCAAGGCACTCGGTGAACACGGAGGCATTCATTCATTTCCCGTCAGCAGGGGTGGTTACGTCAGTTAGCGATAACGACAACAATGACAGCTGACCCAGGTCTCTCAGCCTTAGCACTTGGCTGTGGGATTGGGGTACAGGAGGGTGACGGTGGCCTAGACACTGGAGGCTTGTAGCATGTCCCCGTGGCAGTGTGCTGGAGCCAATGTCACCTCTTCGATGAGGTGAGATGCCCCTCCCTCAAGGTTGGTCGTGTCGAACTGCCATAGGAAGCCCTTCATCTCACCCAGTTCTCTGTCAGTTCTAGACTGGCTGGTGCAACCCAAACCCCGATGGCTTGGTGGCAATGGCTGGCTGCTGGATGGTCCTGAAGAGGTGTTACAAGGTACTTGCCATGGGTCCCCAAGTCAGAGCCAGCCTGTCCTTCTCACTGGGCTTCCATGGGTCACAGGGATGCTGGCTGGGGACCCAGCCTGTTTTCTGTGGCCTGGGTGAAAAAAAAAAAAAAAAAAAAAACAGCGAGGGCCTCCCTGATGGTGAGCCTCCATCTCAGCAGAGAATGAGAAGAAAGGGGATCTGGGACCCCTAAAGTCTTAAAGGGCCTAATTGCCACCTATGAAGAAGGAATCCTTATGTGGATGGGGCATGGAGGGTGATTTCTTAAAGGAACCACAAACAGGCCTGAGGCCCAGGGGTTTGCAGAGGTCGGGCTGTACATGTGTGCACATAGCTGTACCGGTGGCTTTGCACACCCCCGTGTGGACCATGTCCATCAGGGCATGCTACACCTGGTCTTGTGGATGTGGTTGAATGTGTGTGTGTGTGTATGTGTATAAGCACATGTGTGAAAAAGCATGTATGTATGTGTTGACTGGGGTGTGTTGTATGTACACGGGTGACTGTAGCTGTCTGTGCATGATTCAGGGTATACCCGTGCACATGTATTCACATGCGGTTCTTTTGGGTGATGGTGTGTTTAGGATACGGTGACTGTGTACATGTGCACTGGGTGCTGGTGGGAGGTGCTCTCTCAGAGTGTCTGTATGCAAGGCATAGGTGCCGCTTAGAGTCCGGAAGCAGGTGGGAGGTGGTCTCTCTTGGTGCACATGTATGTACAAATATGTCCCGGAGTCTGAGTGTCCATGTGTGCACCGTGTGAGAGACACACATATGGCTTGGTATCTGGGTGGGGCTAGAAAGTGGCCTTTCTGGATGAGGTGCTGGGGTGCACTGTCTGCTCCCCAGGTCATCCATCTGAGACCTGGTCTGTGTCCCTCCACAGCAGAGGCATGCAGCACCACTGAGGATGGGGCAGAGCCACTACTCTGTCCCTCAGGCTATGAGTGCCACATCCTGCGTCCAGGGGACCCAGCCCAGGGCATACCTAACCATGGGCAGTGCGTCAAGCAGCGCCGACAAGCAGGTAAGAGGGGCTGCTGCTCCGAAGAACTCTGCTCTGGCCCTGCCGTATTCTGCCCCGGCCCTGGCCCCGCCCCAGCCTCCCTGGCCCCACCCTAGTCTGCCCTGCCCCACCCCGGCCTCCCTGGTCCCGCCCTAGTCTGCCTTGGCCCCGCCCTAGTCTGCCCTGGTCCCGTTCCAGCCCACTGCCTGCCACTTCAGGCTGGCTCAGAGTACCCCCTAGCCTCACTTCCTGCTCCCTCCGTGTCCTGCTCTTCCTTGTAACTCCAGCTCTGAGTCAGCTACCTGGTTGGCCTTGGAGGTCAGTCTCTTCATTTCTCTGAGCCTCAGTTTCCTCCCCTGTGCAATGAGGACCAATTCATGTTGTCATGGGATCAGATGAGAACATAGGTGCAGAGTTCTGGGAGTGAAACCAGGTAGTCACAGGTGTTGGGGAACACTGGATCTTGTGCACCCATCTCTAGGTCTGTCTTTAACCCCACAGAATTTGAATGTTTAAAATCTATTATTATTGTGTATGTGTGTGTGCACGCAGGGCAGAGCAAGAGAAGGCGCATGCCACACATGTTACCTGTGAGAACTTTGAGGAGTCCAGGCTCGCCCTCCACCCTTATGTGGGTCCTGGGACTCAAACTCAGGCCATCAAGCTTGGGCACAGAGCAGGCACCTTTACCTGCTGAGCCATCTGCGTGGCCCAAACCTCCTAGAACCTGAATTGTCTGAGAATCCTTGTTTCTCAGATGGCAGCTGGCCATAGGTGCACATCTGTCGTGGAGGTTGTGGATGAAGCAGTGGAGGCACAGGCTCCAATCGGTGTGGGATAGGCTGAGAGCAGGGTGATCAAGCCGCGAGTTGGGGTTCTGTAAGGAGCAGCCAGGCTAACCTACACATATGATGACTATTGTGGCTCCACAAATCTTCCCGTTTACGACTGCCGATCCCTGGACGCCAGGTCACAGGGAGGGGAGTAGCAGGGGCGGACCTGCAGACATAGAAGGCAGGCAGCCATCAGGGCTGCAGGACAGAGGGATGCCCTCCCTGAGAGGCCTCAACTGGGCTAAGGATGCTTCATATATTGGAAGCCCCAATCCCTGCCTCTTCTGACAAGGTCTCATGTAGCCTAGGCTGGACCAGACCCTCAACTTACTATAGCTAAGGATGGCCTTAAGTTTCTGATTCTTCTACCCTGGGATTACAGGCCAACACCACACATGGCCATGCTGGGTTATGCACAAGGGGATGGAGCAAAGGGCTTTGTGTAGCAAGGCAACAACTCTCCAAACTGAGCTGCATCCTAGCCCCAGAAAGGTCCTTGTAGTCCGCTGATCTTGCTCATTTGATTCTATAGTTTCTAAGACTGGCGTAAACCAAACCGGTTCAGACCAGTTCTAGGGAGTCTGAACCCAGTCCAAAGAAACCCACATCCTGGGGGAAGCTGAGCAGAGAGAGCAGGCCGTCCAACAAGACCACACCAGCAATGTCCAAGCCTGAGAAAGAAGTACAATGAAGGCAAGAGTGCAGGCTCAGAACGTGGGAAACATCTGCAGCCTGCTTCTTCTTTCCTGAGTGTGGCTTTGCTCTGTCACCATAGACTTTCACAGCCTCAGTTTTTCTATCTGTAAAGTGGGGCTTGGGGTGATGCAGTAGGCACTGCAGGGGCAGATTCTGAAGCTCAATGGGTGTATGCCACCTCCAGCCCAGGCACAGTAAGAGGGAGGAATCAGGTCGGGGATCTGCCCCACCAGCTGCAAAGGGCATGTATAAACCTGAGCATGCACCTGTGTGTGCTTGCACCTGCATGTATCCACATGTGCTGTGCCTGCCCCCTTCCCCCAGGAACACTTCCAGCCTCCCAGGTGGAAGCAAATTCTCCCTAAGTGACTGCAGGGCTGTCACTTAGGAATAATTAGTGGCGATTATATAGGAATTTGGAGTCATCTTAAAGTCCCTCACCTTCCTTTAGGGCAAAACTCCCAGCAGATAGAAGAAGACATACACGCCACAGTAACTGAGAGATACAGTTAAAAAAAAAACAACAAGGTTTTTAAACTGCATATTCAGAGTAATCTCAGACTTAAAAAAACACTGCAGAAACATTACTGGGACCATCTCCAGGCCCAGCACTGGCCTCGACAAAAATACTTCTTATCAGGGTAGGGACGTGGGAAATGAAGAAATATAAGAATATGAAGACACTTAAAAATAATAAGACAGAAAACATAGAACATGTCGGGAGGGCATTCCGGTGACTGATATCCTGAAATTCCCCTGCGTTTATTTTCCCACGGCTTTTATACCCAACGTAAGAGGGGGGGACGACAAGGTAACAAAAGACTTTATCAACATGATACAAAAGGAAAACTCCCACAGTCAATGGCTTTATCATTCTGAGACATTGAATCATCAGCATTCTGTTGTCTAGGCAGGGAAGGTGCTCTAGGTCATGTATTCTGAAGGCCACCATTCCCTAGGTGACCTCATAGTTACTAAAGAAGGACCAGAAATATGTTTGCATATCCTGACCACCTGTCAGGATGACACAGACTTACTAGAATGAGCTATTTTAATTTCAAAAGCAATCACCTCCTGAGTCAGGCCGCACAACTACGCCTGTCCCTCTCCTGGCAGTCAGATGAGGTGGAAATGGGCCTGCATTTTTCGGCCCCCACACAGCACTGTTAAAACATTTTTCTTCTCCCTCCCTTTTCCTCAATAGAAATGGACATACGTGTTTTCTTGGGCCATCTGAGAATTAATTGTTGGGGCTAGATAAATGGCTGGGTGTGTAAGAGTCCTTGCTGAGCAAGTATGAGGAACTGGGGAAAAAAAAAGCTGAGTTTGGCCAGGTGTGAAATCCCTCACAGCTGATGGGTCAGGCGGAGCCAGAGAGACTGCCAGCCTAGCTCCAGGGTCAGTGAAAGACCCAGCCTCAAAAGAATAAGGTAGAAAACGGTAAAGCGGGACACCCAGTGTTCTATGGCTTCCAAGCGCTCTCTCTCTCTCTCTCTCTCTCTCTCTCTCTCTCTCTCTCTCTCTCACACACACACACACACACACACACACACACACACACACACACCTGCATGCATGCACACACACTAAATTGCAGGCTCTTGACCACTTCCTAGGGTCAGTCAGGAGAGTATTTTTAGTCTCAGGTCCCCTTTGACCCTCGAAATAATGTCAAAATATCTGTGCAATGCTGCAACTGGAAACTGACTAGCACGGCCTCCCGAGCAAGTGTCTAAAAACTTTCTCTTCCCACTTGTTTTCCAGAGGGGCGGATCCTGCGGCAGAAACTTCACAAGCAATACCCAGGTAAGAGGAAGAAGGCACTCTTTCTCTGCAGAAGACACAAGGAAGAGAGGCAAGCATTTAAGAGGCAATGGAGATATCAAAGTCCAGGGCTGAGCTAGAGAACAAAATGGCAATTAGGTTTGAGAAATAAAGCTGAGCCCTGTTATTACGATGTTGGGCAGGACAGATGTGAGCCAGAGAGGGGTTCAGGGCAACCAGGTCCTCAACCTAGTGTCAGAATCTGGGAATGGGCACAGCTATGTCTCTCCTACCCTCACTCAGGGAATTGGAAGAGATGATCCTTCCTCCATCTTTCTGGTTGTTCATGTATATGAGAATTTATACATACACCCACTCATTCGTCCACCTAATTATTCTTACATCCATCCATCCATCCACCCATCCATCCATCCATCCATCCATTTATCCATCCATCCATCCATCCACCCATCCACCCATCCATCCATCCATCCATCCATCCACCCATCCATCCATCCATCCACCCATCCACCCACCCATCCATCCATCCATCCATCCTTCCATCCATCCATCCATCCATCCATCCATCCACCCATCCACCCATCCATCCATCCACCCATCCATCCTTCCACCCATCCACCCATCCACCCACCCCCTTCTTTTTCCATCTACCCTCTTATCCATTCTTCCACCCATCTCTTCATCCTTCCATTCTTTCTTGCATCCCTTTCTCTGATCTTCCCTTCTCATCCATGCATCTGCCCATTCACCCATCCCTCTGTCCATCCTCTCTTCTACCCATCTATCCTATCTATCCATTTTTATTAAAAGATTTATTTATCACCTATACAGTGTTCTGTCTGCATGTATGCCTGCAGGCCAGAGGAGGGCACCAGATCTCATTACAGATGGCTGTGAGCCACCATGTGATTGCTGGGAATTGAACTTAGGACCTCTGGAAGAGCAGCCAGTGCTCTTATCCTCTGAGCCATCTTTATAGCTTTATCTATCCATTCTTCTATCTGTCTGTCTGTCTGTCTGTCTATCATTCATCATCCATCATTCATCCATCTACCTGCCCACTCACTCCTCCATGAATCCACCACTTGCCTATCCACTCATCTACCTGTCCATCATCAATCTATCACCCTTCCATCCATACAGCATGTCTTTATCAGTCACTACTCACCACTCAGGGCTGGAGGCTGTGACTCCATCTGCCAACACAATGAACCCAGTTCCTCTCACAGAGTAGCTCAGGCAGGAAATTCAAATACTCATAAAGCTTATGTGGTTACTTCATGTGATAAAGGTTCCAGATGTCACATGCCAGATACCACGAGGACCCTTTAGACCGGAAGAGTTTCTAAGGAGAAGAGCTTCCTAAGGAGGGATCTAGAAAGCTCAGCCTATGGAGTTGGAGGCATTGGCAGTGGGAGGATGTGTGATGATCAGGGGAAGGTGTGGCTGTCCCTGTGGCTGCAGGGCGTGATGAGTGTGAGCTGAGGAATTGGGTAGGCAGGAGGACCAAGGATAAGGCTCAAAGGTGCAGCACCTAGCGGCTTTGAGGCCTTGGGCTCAGTCCCCAGGATACTAAAGATGGAACAAAGAAATGCAGGCAGGGGCCCTGCTGAGGCAAGAGGAGAGCATGCAGCCTGCCATGCCGTGCCAAGGCATCCTCTGGTGCGCACAAGGGGCCCGAGGTGAGAATTTAAGCAGAACATCTGTCCTGACAGCTGTGTTCTTGTTGCAGAAGGGGACTCCAAGAATGTGGCAGAACCTGGAAAGGGACAACAGAGGCACTTTCAATAAAGCAAAGACTGGCAGGTAAGTGGAGGTGAGCTGGTGGCTCAGACAGCCATCGTCCCCATGTTGGCCACAAGAGGGCGACATCAGAACGTCACAATCCCTCCAAATCCCAGTAGGTCAGAAGCAGAACCTAAACCTGGCTGTTAACCTCCTTTCTAGTCTGCCGCCTTCACGACTCCATGCCCGTGCCCCACAAATCGTGTCTTCTTCTCCACTCTGCAAGTCAGTACTGTGGGGAGCACCTGTCTGACCGTTGTGGTGCCAGCACCCCGGCTCAGCATTAGTTGTGGTATCTGCTGAACCCCATTGCTCAGCAGTAGCCGGCGGTCTCCACTAGACACCACAGGTGGGGTTGACATCCCGTTAGAAGGAAGTCTAAGCCAGCCACCTGGTAGATCAACAAGGAGGCCACAGATACACCAGGGAATGGCTAGCAAGGTATAGGAGCTGCCTCCAACAAGTGTGAGGGAGACCTGAGGTGTGTGTGCCGGGGGACACTAAGCTGCTCACAATTGAAAGCTGTGGAGACTGCTGTCCCCACGGTGCATCACTTCAACTGTGAGAACCTTCGAGAGGCTGCTGAGAGGACAGGGATTCAAGGAGACTCTCTGCATAGGGGCTGCCCAGCAAAACAGCCATGCTGAAACACACGCCCTACGCTGTAGCCTTAAGTGAGTATCTCCACTCTCCAAACCTGTTTTCCTGTCTACAAAATGGGTATGATGGGAAAGGATGATCAGTAGCTAATCAGGGACCATGGGGACCTTAAGGATTTCATCTTTGCAAAAACACATCTTTCTGGTGCTCCTGATGGGTCCAGGGCAGATGGAAATTTAAAAGGCCTGAGTTCTTTGCCCTGCCCACAACCGATTCATCTGTATCCTTCCCCTTTGCTTCCTTTACAGCCTTTGAGGACCCTTCCTATGCTTTCCAGATGCTAAACCTCGGAAACAGGAAAAGAATTCAACCCTAGACATCATGGCCAGTGCCACAGAACAGAACTCCAGAGCTCCCAGGAACTCCCAATCCCAGTGTGGCCCAGCCTGGCATGGCAACTTGGGGGAAGCCCCTGACAAGTTCTGGGTCTCTGCTCAGCACCCTGGTCACATGAGCCTGCAGCTTCTAGGTGACTTTTGCAGATTTTGACTGTGAAGACCTATATCCAACCCAAAATAAATCTGCCCACCACACCGTAGAAATGAACTCCTTTATCAGACCTGAGCCGCAGCTGTGTGCGCACATCTGTTGCAAGGGTCTCCGGGACCACCAGGCTGGTAGAGTCATGACCCTCTGGAGGCAAGAAGGTAGTTCAGTTCAAATGACTACGTAGCTGGTGTTGGCTCACACTTCAGGGTGAAAACTTTCCTGGCGATAGTTAACTCCATCCCAAGTACACAATAAAGCAGGGACGTGATTATATCAAAACTCTTTGTAAACTTCCTGTGACACCCTCTGTAAAGATAAGGTCCTATAGACTGACTGCATGTGACCCCTTCCATAAAGATAGGTCCTATAGATTGACAAGCTCACAGACAAAGTCTGTGAAAGGATCTGGTGTGGTCTCGGCCACACAGATAGCAAAAAGGTCACCAGGCTCTTCACCACATCCTCTCCTAGCCTTCCGGACAGACAACAGGTTATGCATCCCTTCCTTTGAAAGAACAGCCCTGGGTGTTTAATACGCCAGATTCCCCTCATGCTGATCTGTGAGGACAAGGCAGTGCCTCCCACAGTCTGTGAGTGTGTGGAGGTCAGAAAACAACCCGTGGAATTGGTTCTCCCCTGGCACCGTGTCTCAGGGACCAAACTGAGCTTGTCCACTAGGTGTCAGCACTGAGTCATCTCAAGCCTGAGTTACGGCTTTAACTATTTAATATCCTCAAATGTGCTGTGCTAGAGGCTACCCCTTGGTGGATGGCCAGGAGTGCAGGGATGCTGTGTCTCCTGAGGCCAGAGTTCTGAGTGCATCGCCCCACAGCTCAGGAGCCCTGGGAAGCTGGGGAGAGTAGGTGAACTGGGAGCTGATCCAGGTCAGTGACCTCCATGGGCCAAGTCCCTTAACAAGGACTTCCCTGTAGGTGCAGATGCAATTAAACAATGTCTTTGTGCTCTGGTCTTGCTGACCTTGGCCCAGTCCTCTCTGGGGTTTTCCATCAGCTATTCCAGTTTAATTCCCCACACTTGGCCCCCCCCCTTTTTTTCTAGAACATTCTCACAAAATCAGTATACTGACTGATCTAAGGAGAAGGTAGGTCCCCTTCGAGTGGCCATAGGGCAGGATGTACTAAGTCTGTGACCCCCAGGGGGGATCCTCTTGTGCTGCTACATGGAGCAGTCACGTGATCCTGGGTAAAGCAGACAGGACTCTTATCCCCAGAACCCTTCTTCCTACAGGCTCAGTGACCTAACCTGGCAGAGTCAAGGTGGTGCCTGTCCCTTTATGAGATAAGTGTGGGAGAAAGCCATTCACGGGCTCTGGGGGAGGAGCTGGGGAGGGCTTCCTGGAGGTGGGAAATGTCTGAGCTACATTTCTGAGTATTGGTCTCTGGGGCTGCCATCCCTAGGGGTCACCAGCCAAGTAGCTAAAGACAGCAGAAACACAACCCATGACTTAAGAGCCGGATCCTCAGCCAGTGGCCTTGGGCAGCCTCTAGGGCCTGTCCAGCCCTTAGGACAATGGAAACCGCACCTCCCCATGACTGCAATGGGAGTCAGTGGAATGCTGGAGGAGGAAGGTTTAACCCCAGGCTAAGAGAAAAGAGAGTGGGCTAGACAGATCTGGGGGCAGGGAAGGAGACAGGGAGAGGAGGTGGGGAGCTCTTGACCATGTTCCAGGACTGGCTTCTATGCCACATGGCAGTCATGACTCCAGGGTCCTCAGTGTCTGGTTTCCTTGACTTTGGTTTGGACTTGCTCAGTGGGTTTATCTTGTTTGTAAGCAACGAAACTGAAGCAATACAACCTCTGAGTTGGGAGAGGCTGACGGGGTAGACTCTGTGAAGTCTGTCAGAACCTCCTTGAATCTACATGCTTGGAATCTCCTGCCCTGAGCTCCGAGACCCAGGAGAGAAAGTCAGCAGGCCACAGTCACGGGCAACAACGGAGCTCCTTGGTGGCCATACCACCTGTGCCTGCTGCATCATAGCTGGGGACAGGCACAGCCGCATCCCCAATCCACACCCATCCCACACCTGTCTCTCCTGCTCACGGAGACTCCGGCTTCTCACCGGGTCACACTCAGAGTGGTTCAACAGGAGTCCGGAGATGGGCAACACCCTACCCATTCGATGAGGGAGTCCTGCCCTAGCCAGTCCTGGAGAGGGGAGAAGCGAGGAGCAGGAAGACCGACTCTCCTTTCACTAGCTATAGCTGAGCCACGTAATAGCTGTTCGCCACCTGCAAGTCATCAGCAACCGGCTGCCACTAAACGCCACCAGAAGCCTCCTGCTCCTGTTACCCAGGCTCCAAGCAAGAAGTCAGAATGTCCCTTCTGTGAAATCAACAGGGTTTATTACTAATATATTTCATATATTAACTGTTGGAATTTGCACCTGACCCTTTAAGATTATGAACCAGTCTCCTCAAGATTTTTTATTATTATTATTTATTTTCGAGACAGGGTTTCTCCGTAGCTTTTGGTTCCTGTCCTAGAACTAGCTCTTGTAGACCAGGCTGGCCTCGAACTCACAGAGATCCGCCTGCCTCTGCCTCCCGAGTGCTGGGATTAAAGGCATGTGCCACCACTGCCCGGCTCTCCTCAAGATTATATGAAATCTTAAAAAGACTGGTTTATTTAATATTTATTTCTATATTTATATATGTATGTATTGTGCATCTGTATACATATATACATGTATATGTATACACACATATGTGTGTATGTATGTATGTATTTCACAGCTGAAAGAATAAGGCCATCAATGAGTTTGTTGTTCTTACTTATGATCCTGGTTAGTTTTTTGGTCAACTTGACATAAACTAAGTTATCTGGGAAAAAGAACCTTAAATGAGAAAATGCGCCCATCAAACTGACCTATAAACAAAGCTATGGGCTACTTTTTTGATTTATGATTTATACGGGAAAGGCTCAGCCCACTAGGGGACATTGCTACTCCTCAGATGGTGGTCCTGGGCTCTAAAGAAAGCAGGTTGAACAAGGCATGAAGAACAAGCCAGTAAGTAGTACCCCTCCATAGTCTCCTCTTAGCTGCACAGATGGAGTTCCCTCTTGGGTTACCCTCCAGCCTCTATTTACTTCGGCACCTCCTGAGGCTATGTACAACCGGCCCAGGATCACAAGCGGCTGGAAAAAGGGGCTGTGCAGAGCCAAGGGCCCAGACTGACCAGGAGGGTTGGGAGGAGACAAAGACCTCCTTGCTCCTTGACTCTGCTTTCCACAGGTTCAAATTGTGCACAACTTACCAACAAAACGTACATTACAGCCCCAAAGACTAATGGAGGAACCTGGAGCTTGTGAGCTTCCATGAACGGCTCTCCACTGAGGAGCCCACAATGGACTGTGATGTCCCCTCCCCCATCCATCCATCCCTCCTTCTATGACAGAAGATGAAGACAATTCTATGATATCATGATCACGAGCCACATTTGATTGGGATGCAACACCTTCCTTCTGGAATGTTCTGCAACCTCTTCCTGATGCCCGATGGCTACATTGTTTGAAGAAATAAGCCAATGACCATCTGGGACACTTTTCCTTTGGGACCGGAGTCTCCACCGTGAGGTGGCTATTGCTGGCTCAGGCTCAGAGCAGCTGTGATGATCTCCCAGACTCCTGAGTCCCTTGGTAGAATGGGGATGGGGGATATCAGACCCTCCCCCGAGACCAAGTCACTTGCTGGCTCAGCTGTGTGTAGCTCTCCTGAAGACACTAGAGTGTGCAGGAGAAGAGGGCCAACTGGATGGGGACTCATCTGTGTATCGCCAATGTTGGGTGATATTGATGGGGCGGGAACTGTTGATGGTGTAGCTACCTTCAAGGCAACCACACTTCTGGAGACAATCCCAGGACAGTCACCAGCTCACCAAGAAGAACATGAGTGATTCTGATAGTCCCACCAGCTCACCAAGCTGGACATGCATGATTCTGATATTCCCACCAGCTCACCAAGCTGGACATGCATGATTCTAATATTCCCACCAGCTCACCAAGCTGGACATGCATGATTGTGATAGTCCCACCAGCTCACCAAGCTTGATGTGTGCAAAATCTCTTCAGTCTGTCACTACCCTCTCTGGGGTGAATAGAAAGATCCCCCCCCAAAAAAAAACTCACTCACAACCGCAGGACTGAGATTCAGGCTGGGTCTTTAGGCAGGAACAATGACAAGTGTCTTTCATTTTTTTCTTTTTGGTTTTTTGAGACAGGGTTTCTCTGTGTAGCTCTGGCTGTCCTGGGACTTGCTCTGTAGACCAAGCTAGCCTCAAACTCACAGAGATCAGCCTGCCTCTACCTCCCGAGTGTGTGCCAAGCGATAACCTTGGTGCCAGTCCTCTCTGACCTTGTTTGAGACAGGATCTCTTGTTCACCACTGTGTAGAGCAAGCTGACCAAGGCAGGAGCTTCTAAGGAGTCCCCCGTCTCTGTGTCCTGTCTTGCTGTAGGGGTGCTGGGATTACATACAAACGCTATGGTGTCACACTTTGCCTTGGTTCTAGGAATCCGAACTTGGATCCACACTCTTGCTTAGACAGCAAGCACTTGACCCACTGGGCCATCTCTCCAGCCCAGTGGAGCCGTTTATACGGAACCACAAACTCCTACCACACCACTATAATGGTCTGCAATGGTTGTGTGAAAAGAGATCTCAGATTTTCATCTAGATCTCTACCTTCTAGAAGATTCCTTGAAGTCCTCCTAGGCAAGCTCTGCCTTCTTCTTGTAAAACAAATCCTTTGTTAAACAGATGTATTCATGTGTCAGGTGTCAACAATTATGGTGGTTACCAAGAAGGATGAAGGAAGGGTTCCTAGGCCTGCCCCAGCCCAGGGAAAATGACCCATTGCTGTGACCTGGTGACCAAACAGAGATGCCTATGGATGTGGGAAGAGAGTGAGGGAGTCCGGCATCTGAGCTATGTGTTTACCCCTTGGGCTCCAGTGAGTCCCTGGGGCACCTTCTCTGGGTCCTGGTGTCACCATGCACAGCTCGGGGCTTATCCATCCTGTTGGAAGGAAAACCCTGCCAAACCATTGATGTCGCCCAGCTGTGGAGAAGTGGCCAGAGCAGGACAGATCTGGAGATGATTCTGAGAACATGACCACAACTGAGGGCAAACACAGGAACTAAATGTACTAACCTTGCTTTTTATAAATTTTTTAAAATGTTTTCTTTATTATTATGTATACAGTGTTCTGCCTGCAAGCATGCCTTCGGGCCAGAAGAGGGCGCCAGATCTCATTACAGGTGGTTGTGAGCCGCCATGTGGTTGCTGGGAATTGAACTCAGGACCTCTGGAAGAGGAGGCAGTGCTCTTCTAAAGCCATCTCTCCAGCCCCTAACCTTGCTTTGTAGCTTCGGTAGTTCCCCCTCTGGCTAACAGTTCTCATTAACTGAAACATGTCAACCCAACACGGTTTTCATGCTTAAAAGCTCACCCTGAGGAAGATTCATTGCTACAATGAAATCCCAAACACCCCGTGTAGTCCCCAATCAGCTAATAAAGACTTTCTATCAGCTTAAACCCATGTCTAAGCAGTCTGCTCTTGTGAACACGCCACAACAAGGACGACAGTCAGCCCAGGCTGAGTTTGCCCCCAGAGACTTAGGATAAGTGCATCTATGAAGATCCTCATTCCCGACAAAGGCCCACTATCAACTGTGATCACTAACACGAGAGGATTTAGCAACACCATGGAACAAATCTTTGAACAGGTCTGTGAGGGGTTAGCTAGGTTAACTGGTGTGGGAAGAACCCCCCCAAATATAGGCAGCACCAAGCCGTGGGTTGGGGTCTTGGGCTCCTGGGCTTCCTACAAAGGAGAAAGCAACCGAGCACCAGCATCCTTCTCTCACTGCTTTCTGACTGTGGGGACGATGTGACCAGCTGCCTCTCTCTCCGGCCACCATGATTCCTCTCCCCATGATCGGATCTATTTCTTGGAACTGTGGGTAAAAAATAAACTAGCAAACCCTTCCTTGAGTTGGTTTTGTTAGGTATTTTGTCACA